AGTTTTACAAATAGGTTCAAAGAAATAATAACCATATAAACAGATTCTCATGTCCACCATAAATTAATGCTAAGTCTCCTGAATGTACTAAGACCTATTCATTACAAGGAAATAACCTGGTGCCCTTCATGCAGAGCTGCTCTTAGACAATGTCTTTGAAGTCATTTCATCCCTGTCCTTGCTTCAAGTATTTAAGTCATGTGTCTTTATACAGTCCTCTTGAGGGTGGGGACAATATCTGAATTACACGATGTGTTTCCCAGCACAGGGCAGTATCAAGATTACAAGATGGATATTGTTAAATGGAAAAAAACACTAAAATTTTATTTGACAGCTTCCACTTTATTCTGGTTCTCTTCTGCTTTTTCATTATGAAAGGATTACAAGGATTCTTATTCACTGTGAATTTGAAAATTAAGTATAAACAATAAAAATGGAAGTCCTTCCCTCTCTTTTGGAAACTGTTTGTTGTTTGGTTAGCTCCATTTACCTATATTCTTTACTTTAATCTTATGCAATTAAAGTATTAGGTTGTCAACATTTATGGTCACTGGATTTATATAATTTGGGGCTACACTTATAACTCTTCTTCATAAACATTTAGGGAACAGTAGTAGTAGTTTATGAAATACACTTTAATCTGCAGTATGAACTTCTTTTTTTTTCCACCACTTCTGAATTCTTACATTCAGCCTTTAACCTACATTTTGCCATAAATTCTAGAAAGTGTGGTGTTCATCTTGCTCTATCCAAAGGAATGTGCAGCCCTGATTTGGCGAGGTACAAACAATACAGAATAGAACACCCTGCCAGTTTAACAAAAGCTATTGAGTGTGTGATGCAGAGCAGTTCTGTGCCAGACATTAGTCATTTAAATCTCTGACCTCAGATAATGGTGAATATCTACTGAATACATACCTTCAGTACTTATACGTTACCCCATTCACACACACACACACACACACACACACACACACACACACAGAGTAGACAATGGCTGATGACTATTACCACCACAGCCTCCCTTTCTGTTTCCTCTTACCTCCCTTGCTGAACACACTGCAGAGGACTGTAGGGGAAAGAAGAAAGAAGCAAGGATTCTTTTAAAACAAGATTTTCATTCTGTGAAAAAAGCTGTGGGAAAATCGGTGATGATGGTGACTAAGAGGAACTTGGCTTATCATAGAAGAGGTTGGTACACGAGCAACTGAGTGGGTTACAGGAAGGAAGCACAGAGTTCTGACAACTAATGTCTCACCTACAGGTTGATGGAGGCTCAATTTATATTGATGAATAAATGGCTAGTATTTAAAAGCCCCCTTATCATTCTTCATCTTTCTCATTTGGTCTTCATTATTTTCCTACATCATTTCTTATGAAGTATTGTAGAATTTGTCTTGCTCCTCCCGCATCCTGCTGTTTACCATTACAATAGCACTATAACCAACTAAGGCAGCTTTGACATGGTGTATGTTTGTGTAAGCGTGGTACTTATGTATTTATGTATTTATGTCTCATTAAACTTCTGATGTGTTCTTCACCTTCATTTCACTATTGAATTTAGTAAAGTTGTTCTGTATTGCAATGGAATCTTTTTAAATGTTTAAATTAATTAGTCATAGACTATAGAAAGACATTATAATTTGTAAGTATCAGCTTTACAATTGAGAGTCTCATAGTAAGCACTCATACAACATCATATAATTATTTGCTAGTATCTTGGAATGAAACATCTTATAATCTTAAAGCAGTTTTCATTCTTGAAAGAACTTGTATATGCTAGTAATACAGTGTGCAATACTACTAGGTTTTTAAGGTGTTGCTATATTTAATTTGATAATAGTATTAGGGGGAAATTTTACTATCTATATTTTGACCAGTAAAAATTTAAACAATTCTTAGATTTGGCAACTTTCTGGATTCAGTATTAAGATAAGAGATTTAGCAAGGGAATCAGGAAAAATACTTTCAATTCTTTCCTACATAATTGTTTTCAAAGAAATCCAAGCAAATAAAGTGGTATAGTGGTACAGGGTATGTTGTCCAGTCACTAATAAAGTGTGTAAGAGTCCATCTCAAATAGCATCACAGAAATATTAATATCTTAGGAGGCATTAGCTTGGCTTCAGAAACTGGTAGAGACACCATCCTCTCATCTTCCTTTCTTAGAGATCAATAGAGAGCTCTAAAAATAGAAACAAATTGTCTACCCCCACACATACACTGAGATCTGGCAAAATGTCAATATTCCTTTTTTAGTGAATGCTACACACTTCAGCAAATACACTGTGGTATACATTTTTGGATCCTATTTATGAATTGTGTATAAGACTGTCACACATATTTGCACTAGCGGTACCCAACACTTGTAAGGTAACATTGAGCTCAATCTTGAAATCATACTAAATATTCAAATAATGCTTCAACAGTTTTGCATTTCCTATTTTATACATTATCAGTATGCAGACCATCAAGCAATTGCAAAAGAAAAAGCTTAACTCTCCATTACATAAGCAAAACTGATCTTTGAGTCTTCAGAACTCTGGAATAATATTATCACAGGATGCATGCTACATTTACACTTGAGTGTTTTCTTCGGTAATCTTCCAGAGGACTGCACACTGATCCTGAGCGAGCGCGCACCTCTTCTAAAGCAGACAGGACTTTCAGGAGCCACCGTGCACCTCTCTAGCCAGCTACCTTTGGAACTGATGTATAATCAAACAGCCGAAAGAGCTGCACATAATCAGAACTCACAACCCTGTGGTCTGGAATAGTAATTGATGGCTAGCGGCAAACCAAGCTCTAATTTACCACCCGTGGAGATTCTTACCACAACTTGCTGATTTCACTGCCCTTCTTAGGAGTCACCTGATTCAAGAGCCTGATCAAGAAAACAAAACTTACAAAGCTATAGGAAAACAATTCATTTCTTTGGGGTAGAAAGATGTCATTGGTTTGAAAATAATTTCTATTATCCTTTTCCTTCAAAATGCTAGTAGCTTCATTTTTATTGTTATAGAGTAATGTATATTTATAATGCCAGAAGGAAAAAGTCAAGATCAAGAGTTTCAAAATATGCTTAAAATCACCTGAAATCTTTCACTAAAAGGTCAATATCGTTAACATTTTGGTGTATATCTTTTCAGATTTTCTATTGAGATAACTGCTAAAATTGATCATGTTCACTTAGAGTGTAACTAAAAATACTTACCTCCTAAATGCATTATGTGTGATTTTGTTCAAATACTCCATTTTTATTTGGGAGTATTGACGCGCACCTGTAATCCCAGTAATCAAGAGGCTAAGGCAGCAAAATTGCTTTGAGTTCACAGCTAGCCTGGGCTACATGGTGAATTACTGGCCAACCGGAACTGCATAGCAAGACCCTGTCTCAAAAAACAGAACAAAACAAAACACCTTCAGTTTTTGGAACTACTGTCTTTGCCTTCTCTTATAGCATTAAAAAATGTGGAAGTAAATCATTACATAACATGAAAAAATATAAGAAAAATTTATGTGACCTAGAATTATCTCATTAGTCACCAGTAATGGTCTGTTGTGCCCAAGAATTGGTGGAAGACAATGTTTCACAGCTAAGATGATCCAACTTTAAAATAACTGAATTCAAGGTCTGCTATTCAGTTCTGAAGACAGCTAACACAGCATAAGCAGCACTTTCTCTCCTTTCCTCCCTGTCTTCTTTCCTGAACATTCCCCAGTCTCTCTTTTGGTCATCGTCACACTCCCCTACTTTTCGGTCTTGACAAGTGGAGTTCTGTCCATCCAATGAAACCTGAAAATGATAGGACTCTATCAGAATGTTTCCTCAAATGAATTAATATACCCTATATAGTATATATACACAATATTCATGTATAAATCAGACAATGTATAATGTAAAAGGATAGAATGTAGTGTGTGGGGTAAGAAGCTGATAAAAACAAAATTTTTTTTATTACAAACTCTTGCATACATTTTGAATGCTTTACAATAATACCTATGTAAAACATTGCATTTAAATAATAGCTATTGGGGCCAGTGAGATAGCTCAGTGGACTAAGCACCTCCTTAGGCAAGCACAGGAACCAAGGTTTGATCTCCAGTCACCATGTGCCTCTCCAGCCCTGCCCCTGGGCATGCTGAGCCAGAAACCAAGTCTGAGTGCGGTAGCGTGCCTGTAATACCAGTGCTGGAGAGGCTGAGAACAGGAGGATCACCAGGAGTCCAAGCTGCGTAGTGAGACCCTGTGCCAAATACATTTAAAAAAAGCTATATATGTATCTACAAATATGAAAAGTTGTCAGCTTAGTAAAGGCTCAAAACCCATCATATGGCATACTAAGTATCCAGAGCAATTAAACCACAAACTGTAACAGTGTCACGTTATGTTTCTGCAATGGAAAATACTTTTTATTTGTTCTGAAAATAGTTTTGGTTGCCATTATTTGGAAGGGTGGCATAGTGGAATTAGGGGACCACGCCTGAATCAGGGATCTGGCAAAGGCCCAGCAACCTATATAGTTTGGTATTACGTCAAACTATATAGCAGTGTGTCTCACTTTAATACACACACACACACACACACACACACACACACACACACACACCACAGCATGGTAGAGTGGTGGAACCATCACCTGAGACAGTTTTTTAGGTGCATTTGCAACAGTTACATTGAGGCAAGAAAAGTTAAAGAGGGGTCCAGGGATATAGCTCAGTGGTGTAAGTGCCTGCCTGGCAAGTGCAAGGTCCTGAGTTCAATCCCTGGTACCGCCAAAAAAGAAAAGAAAAGTTAAAGGAATTATAATTTCAACCTTGATTTCTTTGAAATATGTCACTCTGATTCTGGATTATGTAAATCATATTTGTGCCCTTTGGGCTACATCTGTGTGGCAGAGATGCAGTCAAGTTTGAGAGTTAGTTACTTGAATTGATTTATGTATGTCTCAACATTGTCCTTGATTTTGTCTCACTATTTTCTTGCTCTTTATTTGAAGGTAGTGAAATCAAAGTTATCCAAAGAACATCACTTTATTAAAATGAAAAGATCAAAGAATCATATCGTGGGAAAATATTTTAGCCACCAAAGCAAACTACAAGAGAGAGAGTCTACAACCAATCTTCAGTCACCGTATCACGTCCGAGGTCCAATAAATCAGGTTTGTTCTGAAATCTTGCTCAGCAGAATGTGTGAGAGTGGAAGGATCCTGTAGAGCTCTTGAAGGAGAACTACACTTGAAGTTATGGACAAGCCACTCCCTGCATCATGACCTGTGACCCGAACAATGTGCCTCGAGTGTACTTTGGAGCGAGCCTGTGCGTGTGCCCATCAGGACACGCATGCACACCAATACACACTTAGCTAAGTAAAGCAGTAGCAACACTTATCTCCAGTAGCCTTACAAAATTACTGTTTGAACTTGAACAACTAGTTGCTTTCAGAATGAAAGACAGAGCTAGGAGAAGGATTACTTGAAATACAAACTAGGACCACTATGGGCCAAGCATTGCATGGTGATAGCAAACAGAAATACAAACACTTGAATTGTATGGGAAATTGGATAATGCTATTCAGTATTTGTTATCTTCTCTATAGGCACATGCATATTAGGAAAGCAGAGAAGCAATGACATTCCACTTGTAAGTAGAGATTATGCTTATGTCTTTCACCAGGGCAAAATATGGTATTTATAATAGCTTAGAGTGATTTTGTGGATCTAATGCTTATGAGAAACATTTCTTCTTATATTTTTATACTGTTATAATTCAAAGGAAAAGAACAGGAATGATGTTCCATGGGGAATTTGAAAAGATTCTATAAGATAGAAAGTGAAGTATTTTACAGTCAAAATATCAGTATATTTAGTTATCTACTTCTTGTGTTTTTCATAAACATTCCCTCCTGTCCTGAATGTTGAAGGGTAACTGCAATCTAAAATTATGAAATATATGAGATTTAAGTGAGGAACAAAATATAGTTCCTCATGTACTACTCTATTATGTATTGTTGATATTACTTCAGAAAGTTTCTGTTTGCCATTACAGGTCTATGTAATATAAGATTACAACTTGTAAATATCCACAAATACTGCTATATTTGCCATCTATATTTTCATTTTCTTGAGTAACTGTAATCCAAATTTCAAAATGCCAGAAAAACTTTCATCAAAATTGTGGCATACATACAAACATTAAGTTCTGGTATTGAAAACTGTCATCTCTTTAGTTTCAAAATGGCAAATAATTTTATTATACAAATTTGTTTTTGTGGGAGAAGCTATTGTCACAGTAGCATTTGAGAGATTATTTTTCTTATGAAGAAAGAAATTTATTCAATATATGACTGAAAATACTAACTGTACAAATACCGCAATTTCATTATCATACAAAAATGAAACTATTTTGACTGATCATTTCTTTCATATGAGTACCCAAGTCCTTCAAATACTCTATTTTTATATATATTTTTATATGATCATAAACATGAATTTATATTTAACTGTATTAAATTATATTTAAATGCAAATATCATTTGATACAAACCATATACATATATATCTTCAAATGGTAGGCATTTTGAAATAACGGTACAGAATTAACTCAAAAAGGAAAGGTTTTTCTAGTTACACAACTATATTCAAGCATCATTTTTAAGTTTTCAGAGATTTTTAATGATAGTAAATGTTACCAACTTATGCAGCCACCCCGTCATATTGTAATGCATTTCATGCTCTGTAACAATGTTAGATCAGTATGTGTTTCATATAATTTACTGTTAATCTAATTTTAATAAACATCAGATATTACAATTAGATTATTAGATGCTGCAGAGGTTAGTCTGGCATTCACCTCTTTGCTATTGAAATAATACTTTTGGAAGCAATTGCAATTACATTATTAATAAATGTCTTGCTAGCTATGATCTGTGTTCAGAAAGTATCCTTCTTTTCCTTCCGACCCCACACAAGCAGTGACAATCTGGCAGGGATGTTATTATGTGCATTTAAGTATTGGCGTGTGGCTAAGATTCATTATACATTTCCTTCCAGCTGTGGTTTTCTGTAAATGTATGAGCAGATGAAATCTCTGCTGTAAAATGATCAAAGCTTTTGAGCATAGTGTCGTGACAAGCTTTTTTTCAAGGTAAGGCATTGAAATTCTAGGAAGCCTTTTAATTGTTTCTTAATTGAAGAAGTTACCTTTTCTTTTACTTGGGGGAAATAGTTGCGTATTTATGTATACAGTATGCATTAGGATATGCTGAACAAGTTCCTAATTTGAGTGAGAAGAAAATAAGAGTAGGCAGTTTAGCATATTTTTAGGTGTGAAAGTTACAGGAAGTGCATTATTTTTGGTAAGAATTGATCAGTATCCAATCCAAACTAAACTAAACTTAAGAAAACATTTATCTTACTAAAAGTCAAGAATAACTGCATAAACATTTCCAAGTATTATTGTTGACACTGTGGGGTGTGGTGTGGGGTGTGTGTGTGTGTGTGTGTGTGTGTGTGTGTGTGTGTTTAAAGGCACTATATATTTTTTACCGGTACACAAATAAGATCTTATAAAGACATCTGAAAAGAAGGGCTCACCCTTTCTTGGTGGTTTGGTTTACAGTTGAGTGATTCAGCCTGTTTAATCTTAGTTACTTGTGTGCCTAGAATTCTTCTCTACAGAACATGATTACTTAGAAAGTGTTGAAAGCAATGACTGGAAACAGTTCCAGTGAAGGCAAAGGGGGGCGGGAATGGCTATTCTGCATCAGAAATTCCTTCTCTTAGTTCTATTTCATCAAAAGATCCCAAGAAGAGGCACTGACAAGGACCAAAACTTCCTTGTCACTAAGATATTTCTAATGCTGCAAAGCTTTGCACGTAAGAGGTACAGGTGTTTAATACAGTAACAAGTTTAAGAGCCTAGATAGTTACTCTGCGTTAAGATCTCATTGAATATTGTCTTGTGGTCCCATTTGTCTACAAATACTGAAACTATCATCATCTAAACTTTTTCTCTGAATTTTCATTCTACAAAAATATAAAAACATCATCAAAGTCAATAGAATATGTTATGGTCAAATACACATAACTAAACTCACTCATAATTTAAAGCTGAGTTAATAACTCAGGAAATGTGTCCATGTACAAAATAATACTACAGCATATTCTGCCACTTTATTTGGTTTGAGAAAATCTTTCAAAATGTATTTTTAAAGTTCAAATGCCTTTATTACTCTTGGAAAGGAAGGCATTTTGACAGGCCATCTCAGCTCAAAGTGATAAACCCGTTGTCAGGAATCCCCAAAGACCTACCAAAGACAAACAAGATACTGCAAGCTACTACAAACGAGATTGTATAGTTGGCGAGGTCTCCAAAGTTTCAGACTGTCAAAGGGCCTTTTATCATGTTTTTATTGCTGTAGTAACTGCTATTATCAACTGCAATACATTTTTTATGATTCATTCACTCATTGTAGGGACCACAGAACACACTTTTCTACCTGATATGGACCATGCAGTCCTCCTAAAGTGGTGTTCTACTTGTTTTCTTTATGTTCCCTAAAATATAAAAGAACTGTTTTATTGCTGTACTAAATGCCAGATCACTATGCTTTAATATACAATTTAATACACAATTAGCAATACTAATTCTTAAAACTTAGTATGAATATACTCTGTAAATCTAATATAAGTCAGCATAATTACCTAAACACAACTAAAAAGAGGAAAAGAGTATCACTGAGAGAAAATACTATAAAAGGATTTCTGCAAGGTGGTAATATTTAGGTGGATTAGGTTTAGAGCTTGATTTATGCTCACTGGCATTTTAGCACAAGTCTTTAGTCCTCTGCTAAGAACCTGTTTTCATTTAGTTTTTAAAGACTTTTTGATTGTGTAACACATCTAGGAAAAATATTGCATTTTGGATTATGTTATAAGTAGACATTTAATATCTCTTACCAAGTTATTTCCTTAGATAATTTATGTGTAATAACATTATTCTTTTTATTACATGGGATAAAAACATACTTTTGTCACATGAAAAAGTAGTTTCTGTGAAATCCATTATAATGTTCAGATATACCATATTTGAAAAGCAAAGTAATGACAACTGGCTTCTGGTGCATCAAAATCCAAAAGTCATTTGGTTTCATAAATATAAGATGTGTTCAACTGATTCTCAACTATATAGTGAATTTTTGTTACCTTACAGATGGTTAGTGAAATGTACCAATTTGATACAACTTTTACATTAAGCTAAATGATTTAATAGTGATGGTATATTATATATTTACATATGTTGTTTAATTATATTTTTATTTTCTTCCTATAATAAAATCTGCCAAAATCTGTAGACTGAAATTGAAATGCATGGCATCAAGGTGGACATTTTGATTTTCTTTAAAGTCTTTCACTTTTAATTTGGCCCTTAATTTGCATATTTCAAAATTTTAATCATGGGGCCAAATAGCTCAGCGGATTAAAGTGCCTGCAAGCAGGTGCAGGGGCCAAGGGATAAATCCCTGGGCCTGCTCTGCTGGCCCCACCCCTAGGGCACGCTGAGATGTCAATTGAGACTGGGCATGGTGGCATGCCCCTGTAATCCCAGCTCTTGGGAGGCTGTAAACAGGCAGATCACTATGAGTCTGATCTAATAGTAAGATCCTGAACATCTTTTAGACCCTTCCCTAAAATACAAAAAATAAAGAAATAATAAAATAAAATAAAATTTTAACGTGAATTATCCTTGGATATTAGAAAAAGATAAGAATATTAAAATAAAGACATGAATGATATAATTTGCAAAGTATATATGTATCTGCCAATTTCCATTTAGATGTAAGAGTTTCTTTGTTCTCCAGGCGGTTTTCTTTCCTATTAAGATGAAGATCTGGGTTTTAGTAACTGCAAGCATGTGACAGGATGACATAAAACACCAATAGTGAATCAACGTAACCCAGGTTAGTGGTCCATAAGGACAGCACAATCAGAGGAGACTTTAAAGGATATTGTAGACCTTCATTCTAGAAGAAAGACTCCTACACTGTGTTCTGGAAGGAGGACAAATTACGAGCACTTTCCAGCTATCTTTGACAGATCCTGGACATAGCCTCAAACTTTGTTCTTAACATATAAGTCACTGTGGAGGATCTAATTGCTTCTCAAGAGGAAGAAGGAGAAGGAGGGGGAGAAGAATGAGGAGGAGACAGAGAAGGAGAAAGAAGATGAGGAGGAAGAGGAGAAGAAAAAAAGGAATCCTTGACTTTCTATAATTATCTAGATGCTTTGTGTTTTTTTTGGCCAGTTAGTCTAGCTGTTAGGTGTGATAATTAATTTATAAATGAATCTGATACAGGCAAAAAAGAATAAATAATTTTAAGTCTTTCACAAGCCAAAAATAATAGCAGTATAAGTTAACTAAATAGAAGATGAATGTATCTCTGATAATGTGCTCATTGTCTATCACCAGGAAAATGGAAAATGTGCTGTGATCATCACCATAGTATATTTTCTGGATAATCTGAAAGGACAACTCATCTTTTTTTTTACTAAAATTGTTTATTTTAACCCAAGGATCATTCATCCACCAGGACAATTCTCGTTTGTCCTTACTTTGAAATGAAATTTAAGCAGTATTTTCTGTGTGCATTTAATGTGCAATGCAAGATACATTTCAAAGCTTACATTTTACATTCTTTTTGCCTTAATTACATGTAACATGAAGCATATGTTTTAATGGGCATCGGCTTTCTAGTTTTACAATTTGGTAAAAAATTTATGAGCTTTTTCTTAAAAATCACTGCTTATGTCATTGGCAGAACATAAAATTGTTTGCAGCTACTTTGTATACTTATAAGATAAAATTTTGTCTGAACTAAAAATAAACAGTATGGAGGGAATTGAAGTAACACCTTGGCAGCTTAAAACAAATTTAGTCATCAACTAGCCCAGATTTAGGTCCCTTCCTTTCTACCACGTGTCTATGCACACTAGAAAAAAACTTATATTTGTGCATACTTGCCTTCAAAGAATCTGTTTTGATGAATACATTTTCTATGCAAAATATGTCTTTGAAAGGTGTGGATACAAACCGTGGTGGTATAATTTATTCCCGCCAAGAGCAGGAATCATTTCAGGACTATGTCATTTGTAAACACTCAGAACTCTCTCTTGGCCACAAATCCTGCAAATACATTGGTGCTTTGCATAAATTATTTATTCATTATGAGATGGGACTGATACAGACACTGTATCAAATGCTTCAATTTCCCAGAAGAGTGAGAAATCTCAAATAGGTGATTGGCTGAAGTGCTGTTTTTGTTTCCTGGCATTATTGTAAGTCTTTGAAGTACTGTCTTCCTTAAAGTCAATTTCTCTTCCAATGGAAGCATCCCTAGGCAGTCATTTTTAATAAACTGTTATTAGATATCATGAAAATAAATGCCTGCCCTTCACAACTGATAAGGGAATGGTTATGTTGCTTCTGTAGACAAGAAACTCAAAACTGTTGAGCTAAAGCCAAACCTCCTTTGGCTTGCTTCTGGCAAGAGCATGCACCAAATAAGGAACAAGTAAGAATTCTGGATTATTTCAAACAAAAACACATGCATATTCCCATAAACACACACACTTATATGAATATGTTTATAAAATACATACACACGTGTGTATATACAGTCAAGCCCTCACAAACAAATAATAGACAAATACCAAGCGGTCTCATAGCCATTGAATTAGTTTCTTTAGAACATTCTTATTTTTTGATTTATAGCAGTAGGTAAAACCTTTAGAATAACAGGTTCTATGTCTCCATTTGCCTTTGCCAAGTACTTGTCTAAACACGTGGAGAATGTGATTCCAAGCCTGAGCAAGTAGTGGCAGGGTTGAGTGGGGTGTGTGAGGGGAGGTGACCCCCGGACACTTCTCCTGAGAGGTGACAAATGACTGAACTGTTGGAAACCTCTGAGATGAGAAGACTCTTAAGAAACATGTGCCTGAAAACTAACAAGAGCTGCAACTTTTAAAACTGTATAGAGAACTTCAGGAAAGAGAGCTAGGCCGTTTTGTGCTGTTCTGAAAATACAGGGATTGATAAAGCCCACCTCACGGGAGCCAGGCCTGGGAGAGACCCCTTCCAGCCCCGGGGCCCCCATCCCACTGCCCTGACTTCTCTGATCTCATGTGGTTTTTCACAGTGGCAATGCCTTGAGGAGCAGAACTGCAGAAGGAACACAACTGAGTCCCAGACGCTGTGACAGAGAACACCACTGGGTGGAAAGCACTCGGTGAGATCCCAGCTCCATGGCTCATCGTGTTGCCCCCTGCCCCAAGCTAATTTTTATATGGCTTCTACCTGAGTCTCCATATTTACTTTCTGGTTTTATGACTTCCAGCCTCTGTGCTATAAAAATATTCTTATTCATAGTCCCTTCTCTGTATTCTGCCTCACAGAACTGAGCTGCTCAAGGCTCAGGACCGACCGTCCACTTTCCGCCCTGCCGTGTTTTGCATAGAGCAGGGACTCGGCAAATAGCATTCTGCCTGGCTTCTCCATGCACGCCGTGCTTCTCAGATCGATTGCTGCTGCTGGGAGGGTTTGGTTCTCTTAGGGGGCCTGCCCCTTAGCTTAGTTGTTTAAGCGTCTGCTCATGCAAATACAGTCAGGCTCAGGATCCCGCGGTACGATCCCCACCTCCACCTGCCTTACCAGACCCGCCCGGCCGGAGTCAGAAAAAAAAAAAAAAAATCATTCTCTGGTTCTCTTCATACTGATCGAAGTGTCCTTTCTTCATGCTTCCTTAACACACTCTGCCCACCCCTAGTGAAACCTTGATTTTTTTCTGTCTAAGCCTGTGCCCCTAAAATGTAAGCTCCACAAGGAAGAGATGGTTTTCCTTGTTGGTGATGGGTTCTTCTTCATGATTTTTAGGTGCTTTATTGAAATACAACTTACCTACAATAACGTTTACTCTTTTAAAGTGTACAATTCAGTGGTTTTCATGTATCCCAACTTTCTATGGTTAGAACACTTTTATCAGTTCATCAAGACACATAGTGGTTCTTTGCCTTGCTCCTTCTCTGCTTCCCAAACTCAGACTACTGCTGGTTACTTCCTGTCTCTAAAGCTGTGCCTATCCTGCATTGTTTCTTGTAAACGGGCTCATACAGAATGAGGTCTTTTTTTTTTTTTTTTTTCTTGTGGCGGGCTCAGCCCTCCAAATGAGGTCTTTTGTGGTTGGATTATTTCACTAAAGATTATTTTGTTCTAAATAATGTCACTTTCTTAACAATGGAAAAACATAATGAATTTTTATAAGATAAAAAAATAAATGTTAATAAACATTAGCATTTCTTGGGGTTAGAAACTACATTCAAATCAGAACTTGCTAAAAGGCTTTGACAGAGCTTAATGTTGAAAATAGCTTTTTAAAACCTTCCTTAGCAAGTAGCAGTTGCGTGTTTCCACTATGCCCTGAGGACTGGAGCGGTACTGAGGAAGACGTGAGTCGGGCAAGCTCTGCCTCTCCTGGACAGGGAGGCTGCTGGGAGTACGAGGTGCTGATGGTGCCTGATGTCTACAGCTCATGCGGGCCTAAGGTACTGCAGATCTCCTCTTTGCTGCATCCCAACTCATTGTTATCGCAGCAGAAGAGGATGCTTTCTCTGCTCTGCCTCTAGCAAAACTGGAGGGGCTTTGATGAAGTCCTGTCCAGGTCTAAATAAATAAGCCGACTCATACCTCAAGTTCACACAGAGTATGAAGTTCTTAAAGAGAACAGAATCAAACATTCTTGGTTGTGGAATTTCAGGCATCAGCTAGCCAATCACAAAGCTGTTGGGGAAGCACGGGACATCACACACACCCTAAATGCTGCCACTTACACACCAAGGTTAGACAGGATTAGGGTTAGAAACTGCACTGATGGTCTGGCTTGGGACTCTCAGCCACTGTGCCAGAAGCATGGAGGAAATGTCCATTCAGGTCATCTGCTGCTGGCCTGGTTTCAGACCTACGAAAGTATTTCTATTAGCTTTCCATTTTTGTCAAGCACAATATTAATGTAACATCAAAATTCATTTTTATGTCACAAATCTTCCTTTAATGGTATACATACTAAGTATTTTGGGATGCAAAGCATGCTTAAATAGAAGGACATAATGGTTAAAAGAAGTATCGGTCATATTGTAGTAATTTTGCAGACAGCTGTTTTCAGTTAACATATGTGTATTCCCAGTCTCGTGTATATGAGGTACAAGTTAATGTCAACAGAACATTAACAATGCAACTGAATTTAATTATGGATCTCAAAGTACTATGGGTCGGGAGATCACATTTGAACCAAAAAGCATAGGTAAGGGGACATATGTTTCTGTTGAGCTTCAGATAGGTACTTGCATCTTTTCAACTCACCAGTTCCATACCTTTTTGCAACAGCAGTTAGCTAAAAGATTTCTCTGTGTTTTCTTCCTAAGTGAGATGCAGTTATATCCTCCAGCAGATTAAGTTTGCAAGTAACTTTATATGTGCCTTTTAAATGTGAATCTTGAGACTATAAAGAGGGCTGCAAAGTGTGAGGGTGATGTTATATATACAGTTGTATCTAGAATTAAGGGGAAAAGAGGTTTCCTCAGTGTGTCTGTGACTCTATTTACTAGACACTAGCCTTGAGGATCTCTTAAGATGCTCATATCCTTGGGAGGGTTGTGGTCACTAGGCATTTACACCAAGAATGAACCAAATCACATTGTCCTTCTCCAAATAGCTGGCTAAATTCATTTCAGAGTGAACAAGGGAAACAGGACACAGTTTGAAGGGAGACCTGTTGGGAGGATTGCTCTGGGGAAAGAAGAACCTGTGAGGCAGAGGGGCAGTGGCTGCCAATGGGCCATTGTCACAACTGCCTTGCCATGTCTGGGTCACCTCTGAAGGCTGAGCTTTAAAATCACTTCCAGTCGAGCAATGGACTTGGTGTACAGCAGCTCTGAAGAACTGCTAGGAGCACAGGTTATTTATCGGAAGAAGTGAAGATTTAACCGCTTCATCGCAAGCAGCAGACCTAGTGAGCACCACATTTCATGTTGCCAGTATCTTCCATTGGCCAGTTTCCACCGCTGCCTAAAGCAGTGGCTGTCCTTTGTCACACTGGACTTTGAAGTAGGAGTCTGCCACATCTGAGTGCCGACCATTTAGAGGGTTGCAGAGCACACGAAGTGTTGTTAAAATGAAGACAGTCCTTTGATTAACTGTTGATGGAAATATGATGTTTATATTCACTCTTCATGCTTTGAGAATTTGAATGAAGTCTGAGTTTCCATGCAGTCTGACAGATGCCACCTCTGCAGTGATTGCAAGATCAGTGTGGCTATGCTGGGTGGCCCTCTGGGTAGCCTGTGTCTACTATCTAGTCTCATGGTCCAGTGCAGGTGAAATTTGCACATTGAAAAGGGGTTATTCAAACAAGTATATAGCAACAATTTCCTTCTCTTTTGAGACTCTCTACACAAATAATTGAGGATTATTTATAAGAATATAAATTAATAAATAGCTTTTAAGAGGTGAATGATGAGAAATATATCCAAAGAAAATATTCCTGATGAAGCCACTCAAAAACTAGGAATGTTGTGTTGACACTCCATTTTTCTTAACAATTTTCAAAATGTGGTTAGATTATTGTCTCTGGCCTCCAAAGAGATAAGGTAGGATAGTAACTTGTATCTTTCATGCAAATAACAAACAGAAATTTTACCTAAGCAAAGTGGGATCCATTTGGTCATGTTTATTTCTGCAACACTCTATAAAACGACCACTGGGAAAATGTCTCTTAGGTAACAAGACTCAAAAACAAATAAAGCTCCATACCTCATGGTTCTTAAGAACCAGCCATGTGTGTGTGTGTGTGTGTGTGTGTGTGTGTGTGTGTGTGTGTGTGTAGAATCACATTTGAGAAGATAAGTCAAGTGTTGTATAAGGTGACAAAACATGAGAAGACCAAAGAAAGGAAAGGAATGACAGTGAAAGGAACTAAAGGAAGAATGAAAGGGGCTCGAAAACCCTAAAAAAAATGATGGCAGCTGGCAGCTGGTGTGATGATTACCAGTCAGCTAGAATAGCCTAGAACTTAACCACAAATTCAGCAAGTAGATCTTAAAGGCACTATGCCAAAAACAGGCAGTAAAAGCAGGGATTCATTTAAAAACTGAAATTTTCAATTATTCATATGTGTATTTGGTCTTACAGTTCTGAACAACTCCAGTCAGTGCCAGCAGAATGAAAAGATATTCTTTGTCTGAAAGAGGATAATAGTAGACAAAAAAGAAAATAAATGTCATCTGTTATACAAGTTAATCTGATTAGTGGCACTTTTGAAACTGTTCTCTGAAAAGGACTAATTCTTTTATTAGCTTCATTTTTGGAATTGTGTGTTTTCTTGTATCAGAAATAAGTCAAGCCACTGTAAATCACTTGCTTATTGTACTTTTCATATTGCCCAGAAATGAAAGTTGTCTTTTATTCTGACTTAAGTGTTCACAGCATATGAACTTAACCCCTTAAGTTATCAACTATTCCAGTGAATATTGCATTTCGTGGTGATAGTTCAGCTTTCTCCCAAAGATATTATAGCTTTGTAATAAATATTGTGAGTCTAGAACCCTGAATGAACATCTAAAAATTAATTTCTAAAACTGTTAATTGTTAATACACATTTCAAACAGCATATAAATGTAGTAACCATGACTTGAAACATTGGAACTGCGTCAATTATGATGGGCATCACAACACACCACCAGACAGTACACACACCTGAGACAGCACCTAAACTTTCACACAGAAGATCAGTGGCTGCCCAGAAGTGTTTTGCTGTACGTCATTGTCTGGCTAGGGCCTTTATGCAGTAATCCTGACAAGGTCAGATGTTTCCCAGCACCAAGCACTACACCTGGGTTCCTTGTCCATTGTCCTTCTCTCTTGTATTTCCGATTCAAACTATCTAACTTCCTAGGACCAGATAGCTCAGCGGATTAAAGCGCCTACTTAGGCAGAGCGCAGTGGCCAGGGTTCGGTCGCAGGCATGGGGTGCTGGCCCCTTCCCCAGGGTACGCTGAGACAGAGATTGACACTGCTCATGGTGGTGTGCACCTGTAATCTCAGTGCTTGGGAGGCTGAAAACAGGAGCATCACTATGAGCCCGATCTACGTAGTGAGATCCTGTAGATCTTATCCTAAATACAAAAAATAAAAAAAAATAAAAAAACACCTTTCTGGGCACTCTGCACTACTGAGATAAAGCTGACATGGCTGCATAGCCAGCCTGGTGGGTTGGATGGTGTCAGAACAGAGGACACAGTGCAGCTGCAGGGAGTATAAAACACATACTGTAGATTAGCTCTCCCTGGCTACACTAGGTGCTCGTAAGGATTTTAAATAAGGGAAGCAGTTCTCCCAAAGGACTTAGGAAAGATACAGTCATGGGCTTCCTAATAACTGAGACATGTCCCGAGAAACGTGTCATTAGGCAATTCTGGCACTGTACCAACTTCATGGAGCATGTTGGCAGGAACTTAGCTGGCATTGCCCACTGTGCATATGGTACATGGTATACACTGTACTATGTATGGCCCATCGTTGACCAAAACATGGTTATGCAGAAAATAATGTTATTAAAAATTTTTCCA